ACACAATGGCCCACAATGTCCCGGTCATGTCCAAGCTGCTTCAGGAGTACGACGCGCAGGTTCTCTTCAACCCTCAGTTCTTTGAGATGCGAGTGTCAAAAGCGGTTGATGGAACTTTCTGGGTTGTCAAGCCTGTTCTGCAGTATGGCAACAACGCGGTTGAAATGAGGTACAATGTAGGCACGAGAGGTAATGGTGTTGACCAGCCTGTCTGGCCCGAGGGTTTGTCTACGGAAGTGGTTGGAAAGTAAGCTTCTGACAGAAGTGACCTATGCATTGGGCATTATGAATACAGCAACTATTGAACCAACAGAACCAACGTTTCTTGCTACAGGTATCAAATCATTGTAGGCACCTTGAAACATATTCAACAACCTTCTCAGTATTTCCATAACCAAAATCGTTAGCTCTCAGTCTAATGCCTCTCGTAATCTAGCTTGGTTCACAGCTTCGGCAAGCTCTGCGGGCTTCACTCCAGCCGGATCTCGTAATTGTGTAAATGAATCCCCATCCTTTGGCCCAAGAACTCCGGCATCCTTCACAAAGCCACGGTGTGAATCAAAGAAGAAGATAGTCGCATGTAAAGCATCTGGTGCAACTTCTGAGACGTGGAACTCTGCGGCCGGAACTGTGTACGTTGACCCCCTAGCATGAGTCTCTGAATGAATCTTTCCAGCTCGGAAGAGCTTCCCCGTGTTCTGCACAGTAGAAGATGCCTGATGTGTCTTGTACGCAGTATCCGCCCCCTTGCCGTCGTTCCACGCAAGTGCATACCCTGCGTGCGTGGCTTCTTCTGGCTCCTCGACAGGATCAACTTGATAGGAGTGATCCACGCCCTGCCCCGCCAAGATCCAGCTCTGCGCAAACGGCTGGTGAGAGTGTAAGTGAAAATCGGGGTTCCCGCGCTTGCCGTCCGGCATCCAGACGTGCAGGCGAATGAGCTCGTCGATGCTGCCGTCCTTGACCAAGCTGCACAATGGGACTGAGAGAAAGCCTTGTGCGCTGCGAGAAGCGGTGAACAGTGTTCGGGAAGATGTTGATGTGAGGGCGTCGCGGATGATGGCCCAGCATTGGCTGATGTCGTCTGCTGTTGCGGGCTGGTTTTGGCGTGCTGTTTCGCGGAGGAATGACACTGCTACTGCGACGAGTGCAACATGGACGGCTGCCCCGGCCATTTTTGTGACATTTTGCTGGATGATGACTTGCCAGTCCTGAAAAGATAGACTGGCCGATTTGGTCTTGGTCTCACTGCCTTCGTTGCCTGGAGACAGCAGCTGTTTGATTGTGTCAATTTCATCAGAAGCAGCCTTAGTAGCCTGTGCGACCCCTGCCAACGATCTGAAGACTGTCTCATATGAAATATCCATTTTGTCTCGTTGATGAATGGGCCTGCTGATGCAACTCTTGGTTCCTACTATTATCTGAATGATGCTGAACGAGGGAAATACAGCGATGCGCAATTGAAGCCATTTAACTCTTATCAGTTGGAAACATCAAGCTCTATATAGGAGTCAATTTGATAGATGAAGTACGGCTATCCGCAAGGCACATTGCATGCTGAATATTGATCCATTTGGCGAATCACAAGCAACACGGTGGTGACACACCGTCAGCACAGCCCCGACGCATCCAGGCAACACCGGGCTGCGAAGTGGAAAATGTGGAATAACGTGCGAAAAAAAAAGTCATGTTCATATTATATGGATATCTCTAATACTACAATTCGAAAAACCTTCAGTGCCTCGCACCCTCGCCGTTGACAACCTTGTCAACGTTACGATGAGTGCCTCTAATGGGCGCACCGTTGTTCTCCGTCAGACTCTGGCAGGTCGTGACGTCAATGCCATTGGCGTACTTGTTCTTCTTCTCCCTTGCAAAGCCGTTGTGTGTACCGTTGAAAGTCAGGTTAGCAATGCCATCGTATCCCTTGATACCGGTGCTCTTCTCCAGGCGCTCAGCAATCTCAGGATCGACCTCCCTGAAGATGGCAATCTGCTTCTTCAAAGGCTCCGGGTTCTTGCACAACTCCATCTTGCCCGTGACGTTGTTGATGAAGCGCTCACGTGCGTCCTCGTCCCAAACCTTCTGCCACAGGGCGCGCGGCGCAACAAAGTCCTCTGGTCTAATCTCGGAGAGGAAGGTGATGGCCTGGCCGGTAAAATGACCATGCGTCTTGTCCAGGTCCACGGTACGGGCCTTGAACTGAACGGGATCGATGGAGCTGAGGTAGTTGGGGCGCGCACCCTGGTTGAAGAACGCCATGGCACCATCACGCTGGAAGTTGGCCATCTTGTGGGCGGTCTTTGGTGCGTTAACGGGGAGTTGCTGGTAGTTTACGCCGATACGGTGACGGTGGGTATCAGGGTAGGAGAACAGACGGGACTGAAGGACCGGGTCGGCGGAGGGCTCGATGCCGGGCGGCATGTGCGAGGGGTTGAAAGCAACCTGCTCGACCTCGGCGAAGTAGTTCTGAGGGTTCTCGTTCAGGGTGAACTCGCCCACCTTGCGGAGGGGATATTTACCCTGAGGCCACACGTGCGTGAGGTCAAAGACGTTGATCTTGTCGTTCTCCCATGCATCCTCTGCCTCCTTGGGTGTCATGGTCTGAATCTCAACTGACCACTTGGGGTAGTCGCCGTTCTGGATGGCCTCGAAGAGGTCCTTGCCGGAGTAGTCGGCTGACTTGGTGAGAGAGTCCTCTTGGGTGATGAATTTGGTGCCCTGCTGGGACTTCATGTGAATCTGGGCGTAAACCCATGATCCGTCCTTGTTGACGAGCTTCATCGTGTGACCAGCGTAGCCGTGCATGAAACGGTAGCCATCAGGAATGCCACGGTCACCCATCAAGATCATGACTTGGTGAATTGACTCGGGGTTCTCGCTCAAGTAATTCCAGAACTAAGGAAGCATTTTAGCAGGATTCACATGTGTACGATCATAAGGATTAAACATACCATGAACGAGTCATCCATGTGGTTGAGATGCGTCTGAGGATCACGCTTCTGTGTGTGAATAAACATTGGGAACTTGGCAGGGTCTCGCAGGAAGAAAACGGGCGTGTTGTTCGCCACCATGTCCCAGTTGCCATCCTCTGTTCTGAATTTGACGGAGAATCCTCTGGGGTCGCGAGCAAGATCCGGCGAACCAGACTCGCCGCCAACAGTCGAGAAGCGCACGGTGATAGGGCACTTCTTGCCCTTGGTACCGAAGAGATCGGCCTGCGTAAGCTCGGGGATCGGATTCGTACACTCGAAGAAGCCATGAGCACCGCTGCCCTTGGCATGCACAACACGCTCCGGAATGCGCTCGCGGTCGAAGTGAGAAAGGAGGTCGATCAAGTGGAAATCCTGCAGCAACAACGGACCGTTCTCACCGCATCGCTGTGTCTCGTAGGGGTGAGGCATCGGGACGCCATTGCTGGTGCTGTAGATAGCCTCCTTCGAAGTCATCTGTCTATCCTTCTCGTATGTGCTAAACTGGCCTGCCACATGGGCTGCGAATGATGTGTCTGTGGAACCCATATTGAACGTCTTTTGGGCAGTTTCAATGGGATGTTTGATGATTCTTTGAACAGTCTCCATGAGATTAAGAAGGTGTTGAGAGAGGTCTTATACCAGAGAGAGATATGGTGAGTTGTGCCGCCACCCGCCGGTGCTTGGGCACTTTATGTGGAGGGGCTCGAACGGGCATACACACAGAAAAGTTGCCATCAAAACTCAATGCCATGACGCAGCTTTGTAGGAACAATACCGTCACTCATGTTGGACGAATCACAAACTGCAGATTACTACATCGAAGCAGTCTGAAGACGGGGAGTAGTGTTTGTCACTCCATGTCTGGTTGTAGCGGCATGGGGAACGACGGAACTAGGCCATACCCGCATTAGCACCCGCTCTCTAAGGAGCGGGTCACAGGAATCGATGACGCTTGGTACGGAGCCTCCTTGGCCTCTCGACTTTTCGATTTTTCATCGTTTCGCCTTTTTCGACTCTGGGCTACGGTCCTAATTCGGGGATAACTCCGTGATAACGAAGACCAGGCAGTCGATGGATATCACGTCCAATGCTCCGATATCCTGGCGCTGAAGCCGATTGGCTTTTGGGAGTCTTCAAATGGGTATGGGAGTAACTCGAAGGAGCCACGGAATTCAGATCAAAAGACAAGACGTGACGAAGACCAGAACTGCGGGGGCCAAAGGGCGCGGTAGACTAAGACGATTTAGACCATCAAGCAAATACCGGCACTTGTTTGAAGCAATCCAAGATGCAGCCGCTACCAAGACTCCGGAGATCTAGCTCCGGAGGAGGCCAGACGCCACTGCCAGATTCCCATCTTTCATTAATCGAAATCGTTCAAATCCGATATTTGGTGGTTAGCTCACAGGTGCCAGGTAGCAGTGTGCTAGGGGAATCCCAGATTCGGGGCCAAAGCACCGATCCGCATGAACCCAATCGATGATGTATGCGAACAGCCCGCTGATGTCATGAAGCAGAAGGCCGAGCCAAGACCGATGACAGGCGCTCCACCCCCGCCGTGACCTTGGCTGGCGAACGCAGAGCTAGGGCACTTTTTTGAAGGCTTTGGCGATGAAGCAAAAGGTCTAGAATGTGGTGAAGTCGGCGATGCGGCACGCGATGAATCTGAAGGTACCTTTTGTAGAAAAACCGTTGAATAATCACTTTCAATCCTTTTGTCCGTTTTATGTACACCTATCCCAGCGATACCTGAGTTTGAAATCCGCAATACCCACGCAATTAGACTCACCGACGATGATCTTCTATGGCGCATTCTTTGAAGTGCACCAAACATTCTAAATGCTAAATGACGCCGCATATGAGTTCAAATGAAGAAGACTTTTACGGGAGGAAACCCTTGATCCTAACTTTTCATCGGCCTTCGCGTGGAGTCGTAGACAAATCGAGCGAATGAGTTTTATTCTCACTCATCCTTCATGACGACCGAGGAGTGATTTCTGCGAATTTTGGGCACTCAATCATGTCTCAATTTGATTCACTGATTTCTTCACTCGCCTCATCCTCGACCCGCGTACTGTTAACCGGGGGGTAATGAGCCAGTAGAAGAATGCCCACGGCGACAACGGCGAGAGCCTGTAACGCGATTAGAGAACAAGCATCAGGGATGTAAAGACTCATATGTGAGCACTCACGGCGTTCACAAAGAATGTGAGATTCGGCTTGCCCATCTCAGACAGCGTGGCAAATATGAAGCCGAAGATACCCTGCGTCGTGAGAGTAGCTGCACTCTCAACTAGGGTAATGGCACTCAGGGCGTCTTGTCGCATATGCGGCGGGCACATTTCCGTGATGACGCCCTTTGCTGCAGGGGCCGATCCGGATGCGAATGGTAGCAGGAAAGCGGCTACGAATGAACGAAATTAGCATTTTGCTCTAGCCTCTGGAGTTCGGGGTAAAGTGGGCAGCAAAATTGAGATACTCACCGGCATAGACATGCCAGCCCTCCGTTGCCCAAGCCGCGAGGGACGTGACGATGCCATCCACCACCAAGCTCCACCTCAGGAAGAACAGGTCAAAAGTGCTATCCTCGTCCTCCTCTTCAGGCGGCGCCTTTGTTGGCTCGGAAGCGTTCATCAAGCCGGGTGCCGGGTCCATGTCCTCGGGGTGAGTGGGGATGACGCTCCGTTCCTCCTGGGTGAGCGTCTTTTGAAGAGCTCCGGCATGGGATGACGAGGCAAACCATCTGCGTCCGCTGTCGATTATTTCCGGAAAGATGAACATCAAGAAGATGCCGCGGATCCACGAGTTGCCGGACATAAGGATACCGTTCTCCGTTGTGCCAAAGCTGAAGCGGGAGGTGGCGTACATCTGGATGAGGATGGGCGCATAACCCGTGGCGAACTGGGGCACTGTTAGCAATGTGTTCATGGATGAATGCCGCCGATTTCAATGACAGAGGTAGTAGACTAACCACGCCGAAGAAGATGCCCAGGGCCAGAAAGACGAGACCATAGTTTTTCACAATCTTGCCAGATTCAAGACGGTACTTGGACGGCATGAGCACCTTGATAGGAGCCAGGAAGCCAGAAGCGCCGGGCGTTGTCTTGCCGTCCGTTTGCTCCGTCTCTTCTGGGGGTGCCGGCCAGAAGATGGCCCCGTAGGTCGTTGCAAAGGCAAAGCAGCCGATGGCAACGATGAAAGGACTGGTGATGCCGAACACATCACCCAAAACACCGCCGACTGATCACTCATTAGCAGGCGAGGGTAGGAAAGGTAGAATGTCGACCTACGCAAGTACCCTATGGCGGTACCGATCATGACTGCACCCTGCAGCCGACCAAACACGCCCGTATGCTTTCTTCTTTCGACAACCTCCGCAATTGCCGTGTTCAAAACCAGCCTTTAGTTACAATTGCATTAGCGCCGCGATCCCAGCGCATCTCACTTTCCTTGCTGTACCTAGGTAGGTAGGTAGGTAGGTAGGTAGGTAGGTGAAGTACTTACATGTATCCCCTCGGCCCACCAAAGATGCCAATAAGCTGCGTGTACTGCATCATGTCGATTCCCTTTTGCGCGCCCTGCGACACGGCGAGGACCTGGCACGAGACGCGGATGCCGAGCAGGCCGGTCTGGCTGATAAGGGCCCAGCGAGTACCCCAGCGCTTGATGAGGTCGCCGCAGATGAAGAGGTTAAGAATGCCGCACACGGAGGTGGTCATGCCGAGGATGGAGACCTGGGTGGCCGTGTTTGCGTCAATCTCACGGCGGTGACACATTTCCGAGGCGGGGCCGTCGTAGGGGGCGTGAGACTTGTAAAAGGTTTCGCATGCCATTACACGGAAGACGTAGATAATGCTGTAGACTACATATCAGTTTCCGTTACTGTGGTACACATCCTCGCAACCATGCCATAGTACAGCATGGGTGAGAGGAGAGGGGTGAACTTGTGCGCACGGAACTTGAGTGAGGCCTAGTGTCAGGGAGACGAGGAAGCCGGCGAACAGGATACGGTTTGCGGGTGACCAGAGGCCGCGACCGACCCGCTTCACGGCCCCGGCGCCGGATTTGATTTTGAGGAGGGGCGTTCGTTCATCTGCATCGGCGGCCATCGGGACGGGTGGTTGGGTGTGTGGATGGGATAAGGTACGGTCACAGAGAGGGTGGAAGAGAGCTCTTAGGTTTCGCAGAATCACGCCTTTCGTCCAATAAAGTATTTGTTTATGAGGCTCAACTCTAAAGATCTGGTAGAACTAGGAAGGTCGGGTGAACGTTTCGCAGGGTCGGAAGGGGGGAGGATAGGACAGGATGGGAGAGGAGAGGGGTTCGAAAGGGAAACAAATGGTGACAAAGCCGGACTGGGCTGGATGGGGGGCATAAAGCGATTAAAGGTCACTGGGTGACTGGGGGGGTATAAGGTGTGGTAAGAAAAAATCGAGTGAGAATTGTATGGGTTTTCCTGCGAGTTCCCCGGATTGCTGGGATGTCTGTTGCTGCTGGACCGTTTTACCGAAAAGACGTGCGGAATCCCCGCTATTTCGTCAGGAAAACGATGGGCCTCCTACCTTTGGGCTCTTCTCAAGAGGAACTTTGGTGGAGCACCACAGAGTCCTGACCGGTCACCGGTGTTGGTTAACGGATTGAGTGGTGCCGGAAATGTGAGTGAAGGAGGAAGTGTGGGTGTGGCGGAAGAGAATAGCACTCGGTAAAGCCAACAGATAGCCGCCTGAATGACTCTTACAGAATGGTTAGAGTATGCAAAGACCTATGGTTTCTGTTGGCTGTACATAGTAAGTGTGGTATTTTGGTGTGTGTGAGAACTGCAAAAGAGCCGATGAGATGAGGGGGGGAGGGGCGGCCGCCGATGCAGGAGCCGAGCGCGGCCTTGTGTTGCCGACCCGGAGTGGAGATGGTGGGGTGCCGGATAGCTTCACGGGTGCTGATAGGTCCGAGATAAACTCACCGGAGTCTAGACCCGTTGGACCGGCGCAGGACCGGAGCTTGTCCGGGAATGCGCTGCTTATCGTCGGCCCTGAGCTGCCGAGGGGGCCGGCCGACTCCGGCCTTACATCTACAGTCTCATTAACTTCATAGTATACATCGTGAGTCTCTTGGGTCTCTTGAATGTAGATGGAATTGCTTTTGTTCAAATCAGCAAAAGGCTCGGAGTAGACAGCCATATGTGGTACAAGATAATCCTCGTGAAATGATACCCCGTGCTCATGCTCCTCATCATCCTCTGACTCCCTCCTATCTTAAAGCAAAGGATGCTCCAGTACAAGCTTACCAAACTTGCCCTGGTCAGCAACCTTCTTCACCTCCTCCAGCGCATCCTCCGCCGTTCCCTTGAAAACATCCACCACAGGAATCGAGAACTCGGTGCCGTAATTCTCAACAGACCACATCAACGCCTTCCACATCCTGCCCCAATCCTCCAGCCGCGGAGGGATCGTGATAAGGGGACCATCGCCCAGCTGTAGTGTGATTTCTGTATTCGCCGATGCCAGCGGCATCTTGATTCTCCCACCCGGCTTCGCCACGACAGACAGAATAATAGCATTCTCATCAACACAAGCCTCCGTCTGTGATGCCGAGGTGACCTCACCCCTTGAACCCGCACAATCGGCCGCGTAGCGAATCGGCCCCGCGCCAGCCTCCTCCGCCGCCTTCTTGATCTGAGAAATCACGTCTGGAGCGTTATAATCGAAGCAGCGCGTCGCCCCCATCTTAGTGAGCATCTCATGCCGCCCGGGCGACGCGGTGACGAAAATGGGGCTCGCACCGCTCTCCCGCGCTAATTGCAGCATGCAAAGTCCAACGCTGGCGGATGCGCCCCAAATAAGTAGCGGACCATCCTTGAACCCTTCCTTTGCCTTCTCCCCAGGGAGAGGGTATCCAAAGATATTGTACAGCCCGTCGGCGGCTGTGGTCAGCACCACCGTGAGACTCGCGGCGTGCGTCTTGGGCAGGTTATCCGGAACCTTGAAGAGCATGTCTTCCGGACAGCTCAGGTACTCCTGATGCGCGCCGTGTCTCATTGGTTTGCCCATGCCGGTGGGTACGTAGCCGGCCACCAGGTCGTCCGGCTTGAAGGCGGACGACGCATTTTCTCCGGCGGCCCGGACGACTCGGCCGCAAAAGTCGTAGCCGAGGGTCACTGCGCGGACGCCGATGTATGGTGCGTGTTTGACGTCGGCGGGGTTTACGCCAGAGTAGAGAACCTTGACGAGGACCTCGCCATCTACGGGGTCGGGGATGGGAAGATTGCGGATGACGGAGAAGTTGCAGTCTTCGTCGACATAGAGCGCCGGCGCCGTTGATGTTGTTTTGCTGCCCATTGTGAGGTTTCGTTTTTTACTGTTCTAATGGGGGTTGACTATGGCTGCCCGCCATAATTATCACACGGCAGACCAGACGCATCTTATGCAGTAACTTGTGGCCATGGACAGAACACTTCAAAACGTGGAATTGACACATTTGTTTGCCCCCTTTCGCTAGCGTCCACTTCTCCGGGTCGCGACCCTCTCATAAAATCGGGCATCCGGTGGGAGGTGGGCGGCTGAATAAAGATGAACGGAGCTCTCAAGAAGAATCACGGACGAATACGGCCGTCTCGGACAAGTTGCCCGATTTATTCATCGGCCAACGGAGGGTTCCTAACACCCGAGGTCGCCGGGGCCCATCTCTAGACTCTACCGGGCGGGGGGTGGTAGCGTACAGTTGACGCGCCTCGGGTGATCAGCAGGGCCAAATGGCGGGGAAGAACTCAAACATATGCGACATGGACATGTCCAGGCCCTTTCCGACGTCTCGCATGGCATAGGCAGACTGTAGGGCTACATATGAACTGGTCCCAGGTTGAGTCCAATAAGTACGAGGCCCTCGGACTTCCCCCAGGCGAATATTACCCCAAGAGGGCGAAAATGGCAACGCCATTGGCTGGTACACAAGTGGGAATCTGCCGTGGGGCCATGCCGGTGAAGGGGGGCCGTGTTTCTGAGCGTCCTCGACGATCCGTCATCAGGAATTGGGTCAAATCCGAGGATTTACAGAGTCCCCTGAGAGGTGTAGACAGGCCGGGGAGCTCGGATTTATGATGGTCTCGTATAATAACGATATAACAAACATGCGATGCTGCCGCCATCAAAAAGGCTAATAGTCTTGTTCTAGACAAACATTGTACCTGCATCAACGGGAATTTATCACTGCGAGTTTGTTAGATTAAGCAACAATGGCGCCACTTATCGTCAACAACATTGAAGTCATCCAGGACCCCACTATCCCTCCAGCATGGCCAACTCCCAAAGAGCCTTCCCGCGTGGAGCTCTCAAGCGGAAGTCAAAAGACCCCAGAGCATCGTCCGCTCCCGTGCGACATCATCCTTGAGCGGGACCAGCCGTTGACGCTGCGCGACGGGACCCGCATCCGGGTTGACATCTTTCGGCCGAAGACGGACGAGAAGGTCCCTGCCATCCTGATGTGGTCGCCTTACGGGAAGACTGACACGGGTACGGCCCAATATGATGCCGATTGTGTTGTTGCGTACCAACTACTAACAGTATTTTCCAGGCACCCTGAATCTCCACGCAGTTCCTTTACGATGTGGCGTTCCCCTGAGCAAACTATCGGGTTACGAGTCGTTCGAGGGGTGGGATCTCCCTAACATGCGCCCTTACTATCAGACTTGAAAGACTGACTTGCCTCCAAGACTAGACCCCGCTGAATGGGTGCCGAAAGGCTATGCCATCATCAACGCAGACGCCAGAGGATGCGGTGACTCTGAAGGCGACATGAGGTCGTGGGGTACCCCAGAGGGCCAAGACGGCCACGACGCCATTGAGGATATCGCCAAGCTGCCCTGGTGCACAGGCAAGGTCGCCATGGCTGGCAACTCATGGCTTGCGCTGTGTCAGTGGTACATAGCCGCCGAGAGGCCGCCTCACTTGGCGTGTATTGCCCCTCTGGAGGGTGCGAGCGATCATATGCGCGAGAGTCTGTGCCGTGGCGGGATTCCTTCGATTGGGTTCGGGTCGATGATTAGCAATGTGGTTCGTGGTAAGTTGCACGCCTATCCATCTATAGGCTTCAACTATTCGACTCAACTGACTGTGCATCAGGTCGTGGTCAGCAAGAAAACAGCGTCGAGATGCTGCTTAAGCACGGGCAGGGTCTCAGAGCGTACTGGGATGACAAGAGGGCACGCATGGACAGGATTGAGGTCCCGGCCTACATCTTGGGCAGCTATTCGACGATGCTTCACACCATTGGGAGCTTCAGAGGTTTTGAAGAGATCCCTCACCAAAACAAATGGTTCGTTCAATGCATGCACCCTGGCCCAGGTCACAGTTAGTTGACTTCTTCCTAGGATGGTGACTCATGCTACGCAAGAGTGGTTCGACCTATACAGCCAAGAACGTACCGATGACTTGCAAAAGTTCTTCGACCGCTACGTGAAAGGCATCGACAACGGGTGGGAGAAGACTTCGCCGGTAAGGCTGGCCATGCTCGGCTACAACAAGCCACCCGTGATCGATCTCCCTTTTGACTCTCTTCCTTGGCTATCACCGAGTGCCACGAACACGGAACTCCAGCGTCTTTACTTGGGCGCCGACAAGACGCTGCAGCATTCCAAAAACACCGATACCGCAACCCTTGGCTATGAGGGCACGGAAACCGTGGTCTTCACGCACACCTTTTCCAAGTCTACGCAGCTGCTGGGCCCAACCAAGCTCGTGGTCCATGTATCCTGCCCTTCGGCTACAGACTTTGACGTCTACGCTCAGATTCGCAAACGAGATGCAAGCGGCAAAGACCTCGAGCATATTAACATTCCCCTCGAGGCACTCCCCGTGTCTGATCCCAAGGAAATCCCCAGCATCAACCCGCTCAAATACCTAGGACCCAACGGCAAGCTCCGCGCCTCCAAGCGCAAGGTCGCGCCGGAGCTGTCGCCCAACTACTGGCAGACGCTAGCCCACGACGAAGACATTGAGGTCAAGGCGGGCGAGATCGTCAAGATGGAGGTCTGGATATGGCCCACTGCCATACAGTTTGATGCCGGGGAGCAGTTGGCGCTCAAGATCACCGGCTCTGATAGTCTGGTGTTGCCAGAGTTTGAGTTCCTGGCCGAGAAGCCGAAGAATGCTGCTGGTCAGGTTGTCCACTTCGGCGGAGAGTACAAGAATTACTTGGAGGGGCATTGGCATGATTGAAGGGCTGAGATTCATGAAGCCCGGTTGGCTTTGGTTATTGTACACAGCAGTCCATCAGAGTCGTAATTGTGAGATCAAGTGTATCAAGTTTCTACGATTACAAAGCCTCACTCCAACGCCTGAAGGAACTTGGAAAAGTCCAACGTCCCAAGGCCAGTCGCCGGATCCCATCCAACAGTCGCAGACCACCCGCTCTCAACCTTCGTCCCGTAAGAGCAGCTTCCGCTAGATCCGCTCGTGACATCATTGATCGCGGAACGGACCTTGTCAGAGTACAGCAGCGGGTTAAGGAATCCCAAAGCAGGCTTTCCCTCCCTCATGCGCTTGTCGTTGGCGAGAGCGATCATCGCAGCGACGACGGGCGTGCTGGCGCTTGTCCCCTTCTGCGTCCACCCAGGCTGCATCAGGAACCGGGACCCAATGGCCGAGATGTCCGGGCTGCCGCGGCCGTTCGGTGCGTACCAGCCTGCGTGTGATCCGTTGATGCCGGCAATGTACGCCTTGGCCGCGGACTCCTGCCACGCCGGACGCTCAAAGTACTCACTGAATCCGCCGGAGCTGTACCACGCAGGCTCCGTCGGCGCATAGTTGCCCGTCGCGCCGACACCCGTGACCCAGGGACAGTCGACGGGGAACGTCGGGATAAACTTTGTCGTGTTCTTGCCGTCGTTTGAGATGCAGTCTCCTGAACCGATGCCCGCTGCGCCACCGTCGCCGGTAGCTACCAGAACAGAAACGCCGCGGGCGGCGACTTGCATGAAGAGGTCGCAGACGCGACGGGCGTACGGCTGCGGGATGAGCTGCTCATCGTCGGTGTAGGAGATGGAGATGACGTCTGGGATGGTCTCGCGGGCGAGCAGGGCCTCGAGGAACTCGATCCAGGGCTCGTGGGCGCTGTCCTTGGGATCCTTTTCTTTGCCGTCGGGCCCGATTTCGGGACCGCGGCCGCCAGTGGAGAAGTAGGTTGCGTTCATCGGCTGGATGAAGGGCATGCTGTACTGGATGTCCAGCAAAGCCTCGACGCCGTTGCCTTCGGTGGTGTCGCTGCCGCCGTTGATGGACTCCACCGTGAGGTTGTACTTTGGCGAGAAGGCGGTGGTGTTTCGGCGGGGGCTGTAGGACGCCAGAAAGGCTTGGAGAGTAGGAACATTGGGATATTGCTCTAAGAAGCCGGCGATGCCAAAGTCTGTGGGTGATGGTCCATTTGGCGGGCTGTAGTTGATGTTGTAGAGATCCACGATGCAGTCGGGGGTTGTGTAGTCCCAGCAGCTTCGAGGCACTGTGATGTGTCAGTGATGTGGTGACTTAGAAACCTGGCTATTGGGATCCGCCATGAACTTACTCGTGCTCTGTCGCTTTACTTTGCCAGACTCCCTCGCCTTGATCTGTCGTCTAGGCGGCTTGCTCATGAACTGAGTAACCGGGAAGACAAAGTCGACAACCTCTGAGACCTGGCTCGGAAGAGTGTACTCCTTGGCCCGCAACACAGCCTTCTCGCTCTTGTACTGATACTTGGAGAACTTGCAACCCAACAAGCGATTCGCTTTGACGACGGTGGTGTTTATGCGAACCCAAGGGCCGTCCTGAACAAAGCTTCGAATATCGTGAGCAGAAAGCCAAGTTGCAACGACAGCGTAGGCATCAGCGTTCGGCTCCTGGAACATCTTCAACAGATCGCGAGATACGTGTGCACCATACTCGGCATGATTTGGGTCGCTGGTCACCTCGAGACGTGCCTTGAGCTCCGACAAACCGGGCTGCTTCAACGCGACGGAAAGCTGGATCGTGTTGAGGTCATCGGCCGCAGCGATATGCCGCCAGCCCTGCGGGAGCTGCTTCACGACCTCGTGAACTGCATGGCCGCTAGTAGTCGGTTGACTGAGAGCGAAGCTGCTCAGAAGCAGAGTCGAAACTAACGATAGCCTCATATTCTCTGTCTTGTGGGCGTACAAGCTTGTGGGAGCGTGGCGAGTCTCACTCTCTGCTGCGGTCTGCTTGGGCTTGCAGCGTCACTTCATCTAATACTAGCGGCCAGCCTTCAGGGGCCGGGACAAGCTTTTCGGCAACTCGCCCGTATCACTCGACCCGCTGCTTGGCGATGAAGAACATCTTGGGTGGGATTTGACATCATCGTGGACTCTTTCCCCCTCCAGGGGTACCCATGCAACAATGCTTTCTAAAAGGTGAAATCTCCGCCAAAAAGCTCGTATCCAAAAGATCGAACGACTGCCGAATCCCGGTAGAACAAGTCAAAAAGAATACAACCTTCACAACGGGGCCAACCGTCGGCCCTACCGCTCTGGGCTTAACCCAAAATACTAGACGAAGCTTGATGGTGGTTCGGTGCATTGAACCAATCTCGCTTTGGCTCGACAATAGGAAAGCCGTTGATATCCACCATCTACCGTGCACTACGACCCCATATCAGCACTTTATTCGATGCCTGTCGCAATCTTAATACGAAAAATACTCTTCTCACGGCTCCCACCGGCGTTGGCGGCAGCTACTCTCCATGGGTTGTTTCGGGGCGATCATGGCCAAGCCGGGACTCGAGGCTGCGTGAACCTGCTTTCTCCGGAAAGTCGCCCGAATGTTCCTCGGTCTCGCAGGTCATAGGTCATATGAGATTCTTAAAAGTTAGTATCCGAAAATAGCATTAGCATGACCCCGGTCGTGATCTTCCCCGCCATGAACTTTCACGGACCAGGAGCCTGTGGCCATAACACCACGAGATGATAAGAGAACGTGAACCCTCACACCGGAGTTGAGCCTCTCTTCCACCACGCACCTCAGTCACTCGCTCAAATTCGCTCCTACCGACAAGATGCTTGCCCAGTCCCTTGTCATGACGGCCCTGGCCAACGGCGCCCTCGCGGCCATCCCCACCGTCAGCGTCCCTCTGCACTACTACTACGGCGGCGGCCACAAGATCGCCACGAACCTGGTGAACTCGGCCGCAAACACCTCGGTTGAGGTCGTTTTCGACCAGGGCTCCGAGAACTTCTGGGTCTTTGGCCCGAACGCCATCAACAACTGGGGCTGCACCGGCTTCTTCTGCCAGGGCCAGTGCAACGCCACGGCCGAGCCCTTCTACGACTACCCTCACAGCGCGACGGCCAAGAAACCCGAGACGTTCGTGACGCAGTACGCCTACGGTGGGTACACCAAGATTGTCCAGGGCAAGGAGAGCGTCAACGACACATTCCTCTTTGCCGGCGACGCCGGTCTCACGTCAAAGGTGGACGCCCGCGTGGCTATTGCCAACTACATGCAGCAGCGCCTGTTGGACGGCGGCCAGTGCAAGCCGGCCCCGTATGACCTCGGCATCCTCGGCGTGGCGCCCTTCTACCGTACCGCAGAGTGGAACACCACCGGCCCTCATGTCCGTCAGGATCTCCTCGAGAAGGGAGCCATCAGCGCCCCCGTCCAGAGCATTTGGTTCGACGAGGCTCCCGCCGACTGGAAGGGCACCTTCACCGGCAACGCCGTCTTCGGCGCCATTGACCTGTCCAAGTTGACGGGTGACCTCGTCCGGGTGCCTCTCGTCGAGAACGATGGTCTCGGTGCCACTGTCGGATACTTTGTCTCTCCTCCCACCGTCAAGGTCAAGAACGTCACCCTCGACAAGTCGGAAGTGACCACAAAGTCCTGCATGATCGACTCTGGCACCCAGATCAACGACCTGCCCATCGGTGATGCTGGCCTTGCAGCCTTCTTCGCTGCCGCCGGTCTCACCCGTGATTCCATCGGTCACGTCTCCTACAACGGCAGCTGCGATTCCGTTCCCAAGGACCTCACCATCGATCTCGAGTTTGCCGGTGCCGACGGTAAGAGCGTGACCATCAAGACTCCTATCCGTAACTACATCCGCAACAACGCGGATGCCGAAGCTGGGCTCTGCGCACTCAACATTGACACCGGCGCTTGCATGCTTGGTGCTCCCTTCGCCACCTCTGCGTTCTTCGCTGCCGATGATGCCAAAGGCGAGATTGCGCTGGCACAGGGTGGTATCTCGAAGAGAGGTAGCAAAGCGGATGACGCCTCTCTGTCTCTCACTATTCCCTGAACAGGGATTCGGTCGCGTGGATAGTAATTCAATAATCGTTAATCGTTAAATCTCAAGAAAGTGCAAGTAGCCATATCTGCGTGGAGAAACATCAAATCCAATCCGTCATTGATCTGATATACCGCTCATGAATCCGCTCGGTGGTGGCAATCTGGTACAACACAATACAAACCAGCTTAAAGTAAAGGCGCCTTGCTGTCCACCCGCGTCTTGACTCTGACGTGGAAGTCCACCGGTCTCAAGTTGAACCACCCGTCCTGTTTCAACTCATACGAAGGATCCGCCATAGTGAAGTCCACCTCCTTGATCAACTTGGCCACCACAACCATGTTCCACAACCACGCATAGTGCTTACCAATGCACTCTCGCTTTCCATTACCATAGGACCTTCTTACACTCAAAGGCAGCTGCTCGTACTTGTCACCCATCATACGCTCAGGCTTGAAAGCCAATGGGTCTTCAAAGACCGAAGGATCCCGGTTCACACCCGCGAGAACGACGATCATGGGCTGGTTGTAGGCGATCTGATACTGGCCTCCTGCGAGGAACACGGGGCTCTTGTCACCGTCCTTAGGGATGGGCTCAATGTTGAACCCTGGGGCGGCGAAAGAAAGCCGCAGAGACTCGCGGACGATGCCCTCGATATATTTGAGCTGCGAGAGGTGCGCAAAGGTCAACTCACCGTCACCGACAACACGATTGAGCTCATTGCGCGCGGTAGTGATGACATTAGGGTTCTTCAGCAGGAAGTAGATGGCAGTGCTGACCATGCCTGGCGCCGTGCTGCTGCCGATGGGCATGGAGACTATTTCGTCAATGACTTGGGTGTGAGTCAAAGCCTTCTCCGACTCGGAGTCCACTGTGCTGAGAAGGGCAGCCAAGAGATCCTTCCTGTCCGATGGATTGGATTTCCGGTATTGGACCAGATCTTCGGCGTATGCCCGCATCACTTGCTTTCCCTTCTTGAACTTGCTTCCATAAAAGAGCCAGTTGAAGAGACCAGGTCGATTAGGTCGCTGCATTGCCTCGGATGTCGAGTCCTCCATGCCTCGAAGCATCGGGTGTTCTGGTCCAGTAAGACATTTGAGCTTCTTGCCGAAGAGTGCCAGCGTCGTAGCCTCGAGGTTCAATCTGTTGAGCTCGCCAATGGCAGACACCTCAGCGTTGACGCCGAGGCCCTTCCACTTCTCGAGAAGCTCGTTTGTCGTGCTGAGCATGTCCGTAAAACGCTCCGCCACGGACGCTGCCGTCAATTTGGGGGCGATGATGCGGTGGGCGATGCCCCAGTTTTCCTCGTGGTCGTAGGCTGTGAACAGAGCATCGTGGACTGCGTATCGGATCTCGACGATGGGACCGCCGACGTACTTGCGGAATCGTTTCTCGTCGCAAAGTTCCTCTACAAGCGCGGCACCAGCAACGAAGACGATTGTTTTGTTGAGGACTTTGATTTGAAAGATCTCGCCGTACGTCTCGGAAAGCTTCTTGAGAGACGCCCAGGTGTTCTTGGTGTCGATGTTCTTGATGTTGCCCAAAATAGGCACCCCTGGTGGTCGTGGAATCGGGGTCGCCATCGTGTGAAATATGAGGACAGTGATCTAGATGGAAGACTAGGATGGAATTTGGAGAAAGCGGTAGCTAGCGGGAACAGCAAACCGGTCCAAAAGAAAAAAAAAAGCTGCCCGACCTCGAGCCTTAAAACGAAATGCCCAGCATCTCCCAAGTTCCCAGGTCTGAGATGTGGAATCCTCTTTGTTACCCCTTCGCGTCACTGGCCCAAAGCTATCTCTCGACTGTCTCACCGGGTCACGGCATCTCCCAGGCGCGACGGCCCGTATTTTGCTAACGCAACTGCTGTCATTGGGTCGACTGGCGTCGGTGTCACGGTGTTTGGCTGTTTTCGTCCAGTTCGGAGAATCATGTCTCACAAGGTCAGACACTACGCTGAACGAGTGCTGATTGCGCCTCGCCGTTACACCTCTGTGGGGAGTCTGCATTGTGTCATGCTCGTCATCACATGAATATCGCCAAAATCTAGGTTTGACGGTGGATGTAGACAGAACATCGTCGTGCAAGTTGGCAGGTAGTCGGAACTTTTCTGCAGGCCGCGTGGGTGCGGTCCGGTTAAGTGTTGTTGTGAAAACGCCCAGCAAACTCCGGGCCCGCATCGGTGTCTCTGATCTTTTGAACTTGAAACTATGCGAAATATCACCAGATGGGGAAGCAATTCCGGAGATCTGCAAAATGATTCTCCCTAGCTGATAATCGAGCAAGACATGTATTAGTTGGCCAGACATTAAGCTTATTATCATTGGTTCGATATCGCTATGCATGTGTACCGCGTTGTCTGTGTACCATCGTAATTTCTCTAACCTGATAAAATACTTCCTACTTTCGACGACACCGACCATGCATGCCTTGTGTAGAACATGACATTTTGAGGGCAAAGTCACCCTATTGCCGATCTTGCTGGTAGTATTCATGAACGTCAACTCGATGCTTGCTCACAATGCAATGGACAGCTACTTACTCCACAGGATGATACCCATATTCATTTTACCTCGATGGTCGACTATAACGTTCGCCGATGGCTGGCTTACCTTAGTCAGATAGACACCTCGTCAGATGTTGAAGGTGAGTCAATATGGTATCAAAACCTGACTGAAAACTACATGGGTACACATCCACTACACTCCTTCGTAATGGCCAAAAATGAAGATGCGACCAGTGTGGATTGAACACACGACCTTCAGATTGAATGAATGAAGTTTTCAATGGGTCTTGTTGACCCATACTTCAGTCTAACGCTCTCCCAACTAAGCTATGTTCGCCGCTCATCTTCGAGCCCACCTACCGTTCGATGGATTCATGTTCGCCATCGGCAATTGTTCGACAATACGCAACGGAATTCTTAATATCACGTTCATCACGGATCAATTCGGTATTTTCACCTGGATTCGGGCGCAATGTATTCTTCACTCACGTCTTTGATAGTGGCCTCGGCCCGGGTCCTTGATAGCTTCGATCTCAAGATAATTGAGTCCGGAGCACGGCTTATGAGAGACAATTAGAAACGAACACACTCTAAAGTATAGTTAAAAGTTTTTAGCAGTTGAAAGGAGCATTGATGGAACGACAAGTTCGATTTTTGGAAACCCTGTTCAAAGTACATACATAGTACGTGAAGGCGTGCTCCTTATTTCCTGACTTTCCAGTACAGAACCAAGCCTCAAATTTTACTGATCAAGTCTGGACCATGAATCCAATGCACCCAATTTTCTGGTAGGTCTTGGACCGCCATTGTGTCCTGAGCACATAAGAAAGAGTCGACAAGTTCGGCAAACCCCCCTGGATATTGCCAGTGTGGAGCATGACCAGCATCCGGAAACTCGTAGACACTGACAGCAGCATTATACATTCGTCTCGCCATAGCTTGGCATGTTTGTCTTTCGAAGACATAATCGTGAGATCCTGGTTTTTCCATAAGCAATCAGTACTCACTTCTCTAAGGTTTCAACTCTGCTTACTGTCAGTCAAGATCCATGATGTGCACTAACCTCTGATTATCAGAACCGGAATTCTCAGTTCGTCGAAACGCCCGAAAGAGCCTTCTGATGAGTGTTTTGGATTCATAAACTTAGCAAACGCCTGTACTTGACGTCGGGTGCTATCGGCATCAATCAAATCGGATCAATCATCTCTGGCCGCAAGCATTCTCCGAAACGTCGCTCTCCCCGCTGCTTGACTGGCATCTGAAGAGTGAAAACAAAATTCCAGCAGCGCAGCTTCCTGAGACTCATGATCATGTGCCATACGGATACCCTGAAAGGGTGCGGGCGGCGGGAGTATGACTCCTGGTCCAATACTTGGAAGGGATCCAATGAGGATCAGACGGCGAACCAAAGCTGGATAATTCAAAGCCAGCATCTGAGCCGCGCATCCGCCCATCGAAAAGGCCAAGACATCCACTTGATTAAATCCGAGTTGTACGATGAGTTCTGCGCAATAATCCGACCAGCCTGCGTAAGATGTAGGCACTTGTCCTTCGGATCTGCCGACACCAGCGTTGTCAAAGAGAATGACTGGCCGCTTCTCGGCTATCTTATTCATAGAAACCGGATCTATCTGGCTCATTGTAGCCCTGGTTGGTGTGAGACTACACTCTTCACCTGGATGCTGGCTGATGTGGACTGACCTGAATGATACGAGATGAATCACCGTAATCCCAACGTTCGGTCTCAACCAACGATACGCCATCTTCAAGCCCTTGACCAAGATTGACTGATTAGGAGCATTTCCGTATCGTGCCATATTCAAGCCGATAAATCCTGATGCTACGATCTTCAGAAAAAAATAGCACATGTAGTTTAGCTAGACTCAACGTACTTGCCAGATTCTTGCCTGGCTTTATATCTTCACTTCTTGGTTCACTTCACGCAAGCACATGGGCTCGGTAACCCCAAATGTTGATCTCAATGGCAAGCACCACATCGCATGGGAAAACATCACCCAACAGAAGCTGCAAGGCAATATTTGCCGGCACCAGAAGAGAACCTCTCCTGCATTCCAAGAAAACCGACGGCTTGCCGCTACTCGAACCTTATCCCTCAGTATGTTCCCTCGCACGTCCAGAAATGCGCTGCACATGGCTTCAATGATTGGAGTCGACGGACGTACGACTACTGCAGTCAACAGGTGACTTTGCAGATGTGCGATAACCATGGGTAGATCAATGGAAAGCCAGTCAACTTTCCTCCCCAACAGTAGCCAATAACAAGACAAGTTAAAGACATTAGTACACTTAAGGAGCAAGTGCAGCTAAGGAAGCGATACCTGCATAAAGAAGAATGGGAATGACGTTCCTGTAGCAAGTTCCCCAGTGCCGCCCGTCCCACCCCACGAGAGAAGTCTCCAGCACGTTCACCGGCCGAAAGCCGTGAAGGTCCGCAACTATCTGCACTCATACTTTCACCGGCGCCGAAGCCAATCCGGGCTTTCAACGCGTCAATTCTTTACGATTGGTCGGGATAGAACCTCGCTCCGAACACCCAGGAGCGAGTCATTGAATAACCTGATGCAGCAAAGTCATCACTCGCAGAACCATGTGGACACCTTCGGTGAATGATGGGATGGCGGCTCCTGCCAAGGCGCAAGCCAGGCCCTGAATGCCACGACCTGGTCGCCGAACTTGCCGTAGAGGCTTAGCTCGACCACTAACGTCCACTAGCATACACGTTAAGCCTATCTGTTCAGGAAATCCCAGTCACGCGTTTATCCGAGAACGGAAATCCCCAGTCGTGCTTTCTCCCAGCTTGGTCAGCAGGTGGTTTCACGCTCGAGAGGCGGGAAGAAGCTCGCCGGTTGCGGTTATGGAACATGGAAGAACACTGCCTTTTGAGACATCGGAGGGTCGGAAGGTCGGAGCTCAAGGAATCGTGAATTATGAGAAGCCCGCGCAACACGAAGTGTTTGATTATCTTGACAAGTGCGACTGGATATACTCCAGATGGGAAGTGACATCGAAACTGGGCCGCTAAGAATCCAACCACACCTACCCCAATGATCTTCAACAGGCATTTCAGAGCTTCAATCAGATTATCGTCATGTGGCTGGAACATCCCATAGGAACATTGCATCGTGAGTCGTGACATACGACTTCGTTCCTTTGCTTCTCTTCCATGTCGTACTTGGGCACCTACCGATGCGTTTCGCTTCCTGCATCCTACATCCTACATCACACTGCAAAGAGGTACATGTAAGCAATGTTATAGAACTTAGTCGAGCACGCGTTTTCAGCTCAAGCGGAAGTTACATGGGAGATATTCGTAGTTGATTTTCGATCCAAATTGACTGCTCACTTGATTTCGACGCGTTTATTGACGCATATTCTGCCCATTGCTTGCTTTGAGTCATTCTTGGATTTCATTCAGTAACAACCAGACTAAGAACGGCAAGATCTGTTGTTGAAGCAATTAGTCGCCTTGAACAGAGTTTATTAGCCCCCAAAGCATCTGCGTGGAGACGATTCTGTAAAGTTCAGCTACATTCCTAAAGGCAAAATCGATTCGTCTGACTTCGGTCGTACGGAAGTAGAAGTAACGATGTACAATTGCTACGTGACTTGTTGCAGTTCGAATATCATAGCCACTTCCACAAGATCTTGTAACCGACAAATCAAGACAAGGCAGAAATACCCTAATATTGAAAGTTGGTCAGGAAGCACTCTTTCCATAAAGACGGTATGGTTGCAATGAATTGAAGCCCCTCTAACCGCAGAGGACATCGGATAACATGGGTTTCGTTCGTTCTACATTATTTCGCGCTCAAACACTTTCAATATGAAGCCAACAGACTATCCCGACATACAGGATCTTCGAAAAGCTATACCACCGGGCTGTTTTCTTCCCTGTCCGCAGACCTCTCTCTACTACATCTCCAGAGACATCGTGGCGTCAGCAGTACTAGTTTACTTCGCCTTCAAGTACATCAGAGAAGATCAACTCGGGCAGACTCTGCCCTTCATAGCTTGGGGAGCATACTCATTCCTCCAAGGACTTATCTGTACTGGGATCTGGGTACTGGCTCACGAGTGCAGTCATGGGTCACTCTTTGTCTCGACAAAGCTGAACGACGGAATTGGATCTGTACTTCATTCCTTTCTGATGGTACCGTACTTTTCCTGGAAGCCCACTCACCGGCGCCATCATCGGTTTACCGGGCACGCAACTAGGAATGTCGCCTTCGTGCCAGCCATGAAACCAGTCGATTCTGATAGAGACATATTCTCTCCTTCGGGGTTCATGGAAGATTCCGATGTTCCAGTCGTTCAAGCAATCTCGTTGTTAGGACAGCAGCTATTCGGTTGGCCTCTACATGCTTTCTTTAATCTGTCTGCTGGTAAAGACAGTCTCCTGCGAGATGTTTCTGTAACCGAGCGTGGGCTGAGAGTCAGTCTCTTTGATCCTTGGAGCTCTGTTGTTAAGAATAACGAAGCATGGAGCGTGTTGGCCTCTGACTGCGGTCTTGGCATCATGGGTTGCTTTTTGGGCTGGTGTGGCCAGGAATTTGGGTCAAAAACCATGGTTCTGCTATACCTTCTACCCTATCTATGGGTTAACAATTGGTTGGGTATGAGAACCTCTCAAATTCTCCAACAGGTGGAAGCTTTTGGGGCGATTTCAGTTAACATCAAAGCAGTTGCCATCAACTATCTCCAACATAACCATGCCCAAGTGCCTCACTATACCGATGAGGGGTGGAACTTCACCAAAGGGGCTCTATCAACAATCGACAGAGACTTCGGCTTTATCGGGAGGCACTTCATCTAATCATAGACAGACATGTGGTCCATCATCTATCTCCGGAAGTTGCTCCTCGGAAACTAACTTCATGGAGAAATATTCAATCAAAGTGTATGTGCTAACCTCATCGAATTATAGAAGAATACCATTCTACAAGACTGATGCAGCCACAACTGCTATCAAGCCACTATTGGGGGGGCTTATACCATTACGAAGGCAGGAGTTTTCTGGGTCAGCTATGGTACCAGTCTTGCACACTGAAGTATTTAGAAAACGACCCCAATCGTCCCGGCTACACCCGATGGACGTTGTAAGTGGAGAATTTGGCGTTGGCATTTGGTGATGCGGGATTTGCATTTGATGGAGGCAGTCGCATCAGTCTAGATTTGAGAAATAGCATTGAGCATTGAAAAATTGCATGCAAGCTTCCTGGAACGCCTGTCACCCGTGCCGAACCTATTTGCATGATATCTAAGACATTTTATCCCCGACACCTTCCATGTTCCGACTTCGCTAAGCCCCAGTTCTTATCTTACTTGGGCAGGTCTGAAGTTGAGCTCGCGTGAGATGGCTTGTGTTTGGGCTGCCACATCTCAGAATCTCCGATCTTGTCGACAGTGATACCAGCTCGTCCGGCAGGGTTCAAGCCAGCCTCCAACTGCCTCTTATAGGAAACGTTCCGCAGCCTCTCGGCTTCAGCTGGGGTGAGCTTCAACTGCATACAGGTTCAGTCAGTGACTGTTGCGGATCTGAACATATCGAATTGGACTAGAACTTACGTATATCTCGATACCAATTGCATGCATGGCAAGTGCTAGCCAGAGTGCCATACCGAACGGCATGCCCGCCGCTGCACCGGCTTCAGCAGCCGATGTAGGGCTAATGATGTTCGCGTGGACGATTGTTTGCTGAGCAGGGTTCTCTCCAGAGAAATAGGATGCACAAGCGGGATAGAGCTCAAGAGTTCGGTTCATGTTGTCAACCATAAAAGCCACTTGATCGCAAGGACGCGCCGTGTAGTATGTTCCAATGCTGCTGATTACAGCCGCGGCCGAGAACTGAATAAGGCGAAGAGTAATGATGGAGCCAGCCTAGTTGCGGTGTCAAATTAGGATTTTGTCTTCAATAAGACGCAGACATGTGTTGGGGTAAGCTTACGTAGAACCAAGCTCGTAGCATCCAAGCCCGGTGCTGCTCGATCTGAAGTCGCTTGATGTTGACGAATGCCAGCGTGAGCGCAGTGACGAACGCAATCGCCATAACACCAACACCAACTTGGGTGTCCAACGTGCCTCCAAAGGCATTCCTCGCAATCATCAAGGCGCCAGCAATCCCAACAAGTCCGAGAAGAATAACGACATAGCCGTTGATACGATGGAAGAGAAGGACTTTGTGACGAAGTACAGGCACGAATTGGAAACATGCCAAAAAGCTGGCGGGCAAGATTCCAGCTAGGTGGATGATGAGACCGGCTTTTTCATGGTCTTTCTGGTAGTTGAAACATTCTCCTGGGGCCGCTCCACTGCAGAAGGTGTCGAAGTTGAGGTACTGAAATCGTGCGAGGGTAAACCCCATGAGTGCACCGAAGAAGATGAAGAAAAGGACGAAGTTATAGCCCTTGGAGAATCCTAGGGGGTTATAGACCTTTCGCGTTGCGGCGACGAAGCCATTGGCTGGCGGGCGAGTTGGCTGAACCATGGTGACTTTAATAATGTGATCTCGGAAGTTGATATGAATGGTGTCGAGAAGATGTTGCGAAGTTATGAATAGGTGTCTGGTATTTGAAAATTGTTTTGGTGAGTATTCTTATCCTCTCCCATTCTCGTTCACTGCCAGCAGAGGTTTCCATCTCTTATAACTTGTAATTTGCACATTCCGTTGTCCTCTCATCGCGATCTCATTCTGATGGAGACGACTGCTAACGCACTCTTGGAGTCGACATGACCGGGATCGACACGCACTTCTCTGCAAGGTCTGAGAGGCGCATGGACGATTTGGGAAAGAGAATGCGCGACTGCTTAGCACACAGGGGCTGCCGTGTCTCGTTAATTCAAAGTTTGAAGTTGAATTCAACCGCCAAAACGCCATCTTGGCGTCGAAAGTTGAGCCTAGCTCTGACCGCCAGGGAGATCTCTCGATCTCGCCCAACATCCTACAGACTCATAGTCCACAGCGCGCACAATGGTTCCCAAACGGGGTTAGTTCCGTTCTGCTTTCACAGCCGTTTGAGTGGATTCACGTAAGCATGCGGGCGTTGAATACGACTGGGCTTAGCCCAATCCTTCGCCCCAAATGTTTAAGCAGCGGCGCATCCTTCCCCCGTGTCTTGGAAGAGAATGTAGTCGTCATTGAGACTGGAGGTGAATGCTGGTTTGATTATTCCGCGAGCTTCGTCATTCGCTCTAGCCTCTCACTACCTAATCTCTCAGTTGCTCAGCCATGAGAAGTCTGACGCATCCCATACCCAAGACCTTGGCGTCTGTCCGCGCGCACCGTAGGGCGAAGGCTATATACAATCTTACCGATTGCTCGCGCCGCGCACTCGGTACTTTTTCGATTGAACTGCTGGCCCAAGAAGGACTTTAAAATTCCTCCGTAATCATAAACGGGCCACATCCCGCGCCGTCACCATGCCTTTTTGAGAAGCATCTCGCGCCGCGAACCCACATCACCCTCCCCGACACCGTTGATACTTTCCTCGACATGGTCGGAGTTCCCGGACGCTCCAAAGGTTGCAACACGTGTAGGAAGCGTAAGAAAGGCGTAAGTCTGCCAAGATGGGATGATCAATTCGTCTGTTATAACACGACGCGTCCCGCTGCTGACAGAACTGCTGCCAGTGCGACCTACAACGACCTTCATGCGGGCAGTGCATAAAGGCAGGCTTAGAATGTGCAGGCTACGAAAGGAAACGCATCTTCGTCAATGTGACCAAGCCGCCGACGGGCAAAGACTTCAAGGTGACGGCTTTGGTGCCAGTCACACCCGCCCTTGTTCAGACGCGCTCATTATCCCAGTCTGCCTTTGAGGAGCGGATCCTCGAGCTCTTCTGGGATGGCTATATGCCTGATGCTCCGAAATGCACTCCTAGGAGTCCCATCATGAGGTATTCCAACGCAGACTGGGCGACAACCGTGCGAGATCTCTACCGCACCGACGCCGCCTTGCGTCTGAGCTTACTGGCACTCAGCTTGGGCACCATAGGTCGTCGCGACAAGCAGCAGTGGATGATAGACGATGGTCTCAAATTTTATTGCAATGCCTTGACTGAGATGAATGTTGCCTTACGGCATCCCAAAAGATGGAAGTCAGATGCCTTGATGGTGACTTCAAGAATCCTGGGCTTCTATGAGGTGAGCAAGTAGTCTTCGCCCGAGAACAACATTGAGGCTCACTAACTCCCCCCCGAAAGTTGCTCTATGGGGCAGACGATCGAGAGCGACATGGTATCTCTCAAGCTGAAAGTTGGGAGGGGCATTCTTTAGGCGAACTCGCCCTCATCATGCAGCGGACTCCAGAGGCACATATCGACGGCCATGGCCACGACCTGTACGCTTCTGGTCGACTTCATCTGGTCAGTTGAAACCTGCCCTTCCACATGAATCAAGTCCTCTCTACTTAAGTCATGCTGATAATAAAATGCAGGTCATATCTCATGTCAAGCGCAGACGACGGTTTCCGTTAAGCCACCCGGCCTGGAAGACGGTTCCGTGGCAGAATGTCCCTAAGACCCCAAAGGATATCTTGATCGACGTATTTGTTGACATCCCTGGGCTTCTGGAAGACCTGGACCATATGAACAGCTGCAAAGACCTAGAGGAGAAAGAATTAAGGCGCCTTACTCTGATCAAAGAGTGTTGGCGAGTGGACGAAGAGCTCAATTGGTGGCTCGATAATTTGAGCCCCAAAAAAGAACTTGAAGAACTCGCGACTCGTGGCTCAAATAGTCCGACAGCCTGCGACGTCGCTGTTGCATCGATCATTACGTTATACTGGACTATTTGTATTCTCACCTACAGCACTCTTCGCCTTGCAATCGGCACAAAGTCACCGGAGTTGCCCGAACGAACGGACCCCCGCCTCTATTGCACCAAGATAGCCAACATTGTCGACGTCTTCTTCCATCCTTCTGCGGGAACCTTTGGAATACAATCAGCGCCGTTGCCAATCGGCATGGCTCTGGTGTACCTTAACTCGTACGAAGAAGGGTTCAACTCAGAAACCAAGTTCAAGCTTGTAAGCTTTTTTGGACGGACCGCAAACAACGGCATCAGTATTGGGAAGTTCTTGATGAGCACCCAGAGAGATGGGCTCAAGCCCAAGACCAGCGTCGAACTGTCACCCGAAGGTATCAAGGCAAAAGCAAAAAGCTGGTTGGGCGTTGTACCCCGAGAGGGCCCAGTCTGCCAGCCATTGCGATCTGCTTCAAGCCAGGCACTAGCCTGTCAGTGAAGCTCCCTGTGTTTTCGAGGCAGATCTAGCGATGCAAGAGAAACACAAATCTTCCTCTGCGGGGATAGTTATGACAGGAATGAATATTTTTACGCAATCCTTGACTAGCTCACCGAGACGAGGGCTTCGTGACTCCACACATCGACCACCTGGCTCCATATTGCGCAAAATTCTCCCCGACACCCATCGAATTGGCACAACATCGCCATCAACCTCATCAGCCCTGGTGGTCTAGCGGTATGATTCTTCCTTAGGGTTATTGAGCGATCAAACACCATCTTGGAAGAGGCCCCAGGTTCGAATCCTGGCCAGGGCCGCGATACCTTTTGTCTCCTCCAGAAGGATATCCTTGTCTATATAGTGAATGTCCCAACTTCGCTTTTTTGTGTTGTTTCTGGCCACCTCATTCTTCCACTGACGTACCTCAACTTTTTTCTCTGAGGCGCAGCCGAGGGGCTCTGGATAGCGACATGTAGTTGCTCGAAGTTTTGAAGCTGGATGTTATGGATGGAAGAGTATGGAAACACGCAATCACCAGCATGATGGACTATGCCCATTTCTTCTTTTTCAGCAGTTAAAAAGGCTTAGTTATGTATTTGAAGGTTTGGTGAGAGTAGATCATTTAATTGCTCTTAAGCCACGACTTTTGTATACGCCTTACTGATCTAGGGCTCAATCCCTCGTCCGGACTCCGGTGGGCAACCCAGTGAATCCTAGGTTCCATATCAGGCCACGTGAAAGTGATACCTTATTCCCTCATGGGCTGCTACTGCCACTCAAGAAGCCCGGCCAGGTACCCAATTGAGCCGGTTTCCGATTTCACCTTACCCAAAACTCGCCAGTAAGGCACAAACAACCAGTCATGCCTATGCCATATTGGTCGGCTTGCATTATATATCGAAGTCGGGCAATTATGGAAGCTTCCGTGCATTATTTCTCCTATTGGCTATAATAGAACTTGGAAGCATGACGAACACGACTTTAAGTTGTGCTGGGGGAGGCAATCCCCTAGGTGAGGCACAGCCGTTGGACTGGCCCGATCCGGTTCCGGATCCGACGCTGTCCTGCAGGTGAACGACGAACTAGACTGCATTGAGGTATCGTAACCCCACCATAGCTGTTGTTGCCAAGATGATGGGCAAAGCCGGGCTAAACTGAACCTCCGCAAATATGCAGTCACTCGACATCGTCAGGTTTCGCTTCTTTGAAGGCTCCTAGCGATTGGTGTGCTCGGGTTCGGGCAAAGGCTGTGCAGAGCTCGGCGGTATAGCTCGTGAAGATGAATCCTCAACACAACATTGCTTAGATTGAACTCTCGATGAGTTGGGTTTCCTTCGATTCACCGACATCGTCAGGACGTCATGACTTTCTAAACGACAGACTGGATACAGAAGACATTACAACTATACAGAGACCTGTGCGGCGCAGACTCAAGTCAAATCGTGATATAAGACAAGATGCCACGAACTGCTGGGCTAGAATGAATGTAAATCAACACCCACAACACATTGACTGAACACCATCGCATCACGAGCTTCAACCTTGAACTATCACGCTTCTCAGTATTCACTGCTTCTTCACATTTGCGAATAACTTCACCATGCGCCTTTCAATCCTTTCCGCTTTCCTCATGGCTGGTGTCTCAATGGCCCAGGGAGACATCGCTGCGCTCCTCGCCTCTCAGCCCGATCTCAGCACGCTGCTGGAACTCGTCAGTCTCGTACCCGGACTTGCAGATACTCTCGCCTCATCCTCCAACATCACAATCGTGGCTCCCACGAACCAAGCGTTTGCCAACGTGCCCCGCGATGTCCCTGAAGGCGAAGCCATCGAGTACCGCAACAACACCATTGCCATCGGGGCGCTTCTTGCAAACCACGTATTCAAAGGGGTGTATCCGTCGAACGTGATCACCGATGTTCCAACCTTCGCCCAGACCTTGCTCGATATCTCATACATCGACTACAGACAGCCTTTCTCCAACTTCACTGGCGGTGCGTACAACGGACTTGTGAAGAATGGAGAGGATGTTTGTATCTTGTCTGGAGAGCAGACCATTTCTACTGTCACTCAGGCTGTTCGTACTCATTTGATGCCAAAGTTCGAGTGACCAGTGTACTAACATAAAAGACAGGACATCAAACTTGGAGAGGGTATCACGATCCACAAAATCGACACTGTCCTCTCATTCGGCGCTCCCTTCCAGCTCTTCACCTTCCGAGCGGGCTACCTCGCCATGAACGCGGCGTTGGAAGCCGCGCACCTGAACTTCGCATTCGGTGAGACTGGAGCCGACGAGCAGGGCCTGAACATCTCTGACTACACCATCTTTGTGCCTACCGACGAGGCCTTCAAGTCAATTGGCTCTGTGCTTGAGACCGCTAGCCTTGAGACGCTTCAGGAGGTTCTTCGCTACCACATCATTCCCAACAATGTCATCTTCTCCCCGTCCCTGGGCAATGTCACCGTTCCATCTCTTCAAGGAACCAACCTCACTTTCACGGTTTTGCCCGATGGTTCAGCCTGGGTCAACAACGCAAGAATCACCTTCCCCAACACAATTCTGTTCAACGGTGTCGCCCACGTCATTGATAGGTCAGTCAATTGCCATCAGCATAGCAAGTGAATATAAAGCTAACTTCCTGCTAGTGTTTTGAGCCCTGGAAACTTCGACAGGTCTTCCCTGAAGCCGGCATCGCCGGCATCTGAGCGAGTTGCCTTCTCCGGCGCATCCTCAGTCTCAAGCCTGCCTTTCACGAGTGTCTCCTTCGCGACGGACATGATGGCCTTCACAGCGACACCCAGTCTGCTTAAGACAGTTGCTGCCGTCGCTACTGCTACCGCTACGGGTGCGGCCAATGCCACCGCCACCGCCACGACTTCTGGCAGGCCCACTACGGTGCCAACCAACGGCGGTAGCAACTTGTTCCCCGGCATGATCTTGGCCCTTTCTGTCGCTATCGGATTTGCCGCATTCCTCATTTAAACCTCTCTGGATCTAATCAAACCGGCATGGAAAGGCTGGAAGAGGGAGGAGGCTTCGTGAAGGAAGCAAATCCATAGTTCCTAACTCAGCGCTTATCGAATGATTCCAAGGTAAACAGATATCGCGAGGATTCTACGCTCCTATAGATAATTGACTTTGCTACATACTTATTTACATGTTCGTTGAGTGCCTTTCAAGCCAAATGAGTTAATGGGCTATCATTTCCGCAATATGAATGGGCGGGCGGCGGCAATCCCAGCACTTGGACCTGCAAAAATACCTCAACACGTAGCTGATTAAAGTAATCATTCATGTAGTCAGATGTTGATGTAAAAGACACAATAGCAACCAGAAATCAGGTTGAGAAGATCATAGATAGGGAAATGTGTCGCTATACCAACAGACTTTGGGCGAGTCCTAGGTCACTAGACGCTTTTTAAGTAAGTATGTTACAGACAAATATTGAGTAGTAAAGCAATTTATGGTTAATTTATTATGGCTCCCGTATATTCTGGGCATCATCTCACAACAGTAAGTCCCAAGATAGTCGCGTTTGGCAGACTTAGTTCAGCTAGGCGTTAAGTACACCGTCGGCCAGACAGGGCCTGATCTTTGCTTGAACCAATGGTCCATGTCAGCATATGAGTGCTTGAAAGTTTTGCTAGAGAGAAAATCAACATTCACTAGTATGGCAACGTTTAAATAAAGACCCATCTCCAATTATGTAGTATTCACCAAAACCTCGGCAAGCTTACGGTACATGGGCACATGCACGTTGATTAGACGGGGGAAGGCTCCGTGCATGCTCCGTACACCCCCAGTCAGTCTCTCGTAGGAAGTTCGCAGCGAGCTCGTAGCAAGCACCAGACGAGACGCGGGCAGCGGCAACGTGCCACGGGGTTCCACGATGGGCTGATGGTTTGATTACGGTGGTTCGGTAACCACAACATGCGATTTATCCTCCACCGTGGGCCGTTGTGGTCCGTGATTCCGTGTGGGAGGAAACTTGCGAAGACCAAGACCCGGCGCTAGCACCGCTGTATGAGAGCCACTTTTCCCGGCATCGTCGCGCCTAGCTGTGACGGTACTCTGAACAGAACTTGGCGCAGGAAGTCCCAACTGGTGTACACCTTATGGTTGTAGGGCACTGATTTTGTGAATTTCAATGTTTTTATTCTTTTTCATAAAAGTATTTTGGGTTGTTTTACTGAGCAGAGATACATGCCCTTGTGCACAGAGGCGGGAGGAAGGAAATGGTAGCCTCTACTCCGAATATTCCGTCTCCGGAACCCGCCGTCTCTTGTACACCAACGCCAGCTGACAAAACTATTGATACAATCAAAACATGGGTATGGGGGGTATTGGTCATTGAAAACATGTGAAAAAGTCCAGACGCCAGAAAAGCCAGCCCGTTCGTTGTCGCCACCTTTCCATCAAGGGAGTAAAGTCACACGGGGTGGCCGTGTAGGTTGTTTGCTGATGTAGCGCCGAAAAATTTTCGTTGGAGCCTCAAGGCTACGAGGTTGTGGTAAAAAAGCTTGAGGTGTCTGGTGGATGAAAGCTCGGAATTCATCGGCTTGGGTGGTAGTGGTGGGGGCCATTTGCCAGCCTGGTTGATGTGGGTGCGCGTGGTGTAAGTTTTCCCCTTTTCGCTTTGGGCCTCGGAGTCTCTCTCGGTAGAATGTAGGCACCGTCGTGCTGGAAGACTTTTCGATTCATCCTTTCGACATTGTTACTACATCTCGAGTGTTGCTCATTTAAAGGCAGGTTCGGCACTCGTGGTGGCCGCAGGACGGGCACGAGTTGCTGATGACGATCATGCTTCCGCACTTGCAGCAGGAGGGAGCGACGGGCATGCTGGCGACTTATTTGTTGGTGTTGGTGTTGTTGATGATGGTTTGTGAGCGTTGAGAGCTGATGTAGCTTGTTTGAGAGTTGTGTTCTTGGTCGTTGAGAGGGATGGTGATGAGCGAAGATATGAAAGAAATCAGAAAGAGAAGGAGGAGGAAAGGCTCGCACTTATAGACATTCACCTTGCCCACCTTCAACCCTCGAACCCGCACTCATTTGCGGCGGAAGTCTACCTCAACCCAGCCAATCCTTCTCGGAGCCTTGGACCCCTGGTCTGTCCGTAATGGTTGTGGTTCGGTAAGTGGTGTAAGTGGTGGTGTGCACGGCTCAGCCGGGTGTATCTAGTAGGCCGAGGAGGAGAGGCAAGGCAAAGTAAGGCAACATCGGACAACCCAAGACAGGGTAGGACAGACATTGAGCGAGCAAGCGTCACAGAGAAGGAAAAGGCAAAGTGCCATGCCGGGTTCATGGTTGGTTGGACCCTGAGATGGGTTGGCCGCCGCCCGCGCAGACACACGGCTGGGGCCCAGCAAATCGGCATGCCGATCGAGTCGAATGCGGGGTTTAGTTCAAATGTTGACAGGGCCTTATTACAACTCGAGAACTCAATAGAAGTGCGAGAAAGGGACTCATACACCGAAAGAGTGAGAGGGATGCAGTGGATAGGCCCCCCGTGTCTCCCCAGCCGCCGCCCTAGCTCAGTGCTGCGCTTGTGTCTCTCAACTCTCTCATCTCCTTCTCGCGGGCGAATGACGACCCGAGGAGACCGCACACACCCTAGCACTGATGAGATGGCCTGACGTAGGTGTAAGGAACGTGCGCTAGAACGCCAAGGGGGAATAGAATTTGGGCGAAGACACGAAGGCGGAGAATGCGACTTCGGCGGAATTCCTGTGATTCTCTTACCCTTAGCCATCGAGTAACACTTTTGGACGTCAACCACACGTTTGCCCCCATTCAGCTTATACTTTCTACCGCCAAGAATAATCTCTCCAGCCCTTACCCTTTTACCCATCGGCAAGCTCCGGGGTTCGGCGGGTGAAACGCAGCGCTTGGAGATGCACAGAGGAAATTGTCTGTCCTAGGTTGTGGGATGGCACACACATTGACGCGACCTTCATTTACTAGCGAACTCTCTCGTTGGCTTTGCATTCTTCCATCCCCTCTTTCGCTATAATCAGGACTGCCAGTGCTGTGCAAGTGAGGCATGGCACGACGCCCAACAGAGTTCTGACTGGTAGCAAGACTTGGAACTAGTGGCGTTAAAAGAGATAGCACAGCTATAGAAAGCTCCAGACAGCTGCCAGCTAGCAGGCCTAGGTAGCTCTGAAGAATCCGATTTTTAGATGGAGGATGCGAATGTGTATTTACATAGTACGCCTTATTCTGTCATCTGCATGCATGAGGCGTGGGAGATAAAAGTAGTGAGCAAAGTACTCTGCAGTTCGTCTCACAAGCTTTCTTGTAGCGCGTCTCCGGGTACACAATCCCCCCCCCCCCCCCCCGTCGCTTGCGCTGCACGAAGACCTGCAGGCATCTTGACGCGGCCCAGGGTACACTACCTGCCTGTAGTCCGGTCCCGGGTCGGGGGGGGGGGGGGGGTACCGCACACCTAGCAGTTGGTTGGAGCGAGACATCGTGGGCTTCCCGTTCATTGGATGACGAGGATAATTATGCGAATGCTGGGGAAATAGAAATGGACACCGAGCTAATGAAAGGCCCACGATTACAATGTGGAGAGAAGACATGGAAGATGGAGGGGGAACTTGGAAGTTGGGGGGGGGGGGGATGCTATCCGAAAAGGAGGGGGGACACCATGATGCAGCCAACAGCCGCCGGGCTACTCGGGTCGAATGCCGGCGATGGGAATCAAGAGGATGATGTGGGAGGTTCTGACTCCTCGACCGGATGCCTGAGCTTGTCAGTCACTCTGACGATCCAACTACCTGACCAGCCAGCTTCCATTCCGTCCAAGCTCGAGCTCCAAAGATGAACAAAACTCTCGTTGATCTTGGTATGCCAACGAGGATGATCTCTTGCCCAACCGCCTTCACGCCCCTTGAGGGCCTTGACGGTATGCTATGTCAAGTGCCTCTCTGCTACCCCGCAAGATGAGCGAGATCGACTCAAGTGAGATCTGTCGAAGCGAAACGGTCAGACTTGACGCTTAGGGGAAGGGGGTCAAAGTGGAAAACCTGGGGCAAGAATGGCAGCCTCTGGGAGGCCAAGCAGTCGCATCACTTCCCGCGCCACCGAACCACGGACGGCAAGGTTCCTCGATGATCTGGGGTAGCTCTGCTTCAGCCTTCAGAAGCGGGCGCTGAGTTTTGGCGAAGGTTCCAACAAGCAAACGCCACACTGCATGACACGGGAATAGGGGGTGTGTAGCAATACAACAACGGAGCCTAACTCGCAATCAATCCGGGGAAGAATAAGACGGGCGAAAAATACCAAAAACGGTCTTCGACAGAGCGGTAAATGAGTCCACAAAAACAAGGCTCCTTTTCGATATGAATATGACCAAATATAAGGACAAAGAGAATGGGTCTTTTCAATGCGGCCTGCGTCGGCTCACACCGAAAAGAAACCGTGGAGATGAATCGAATGACAGACAGCCCACGACTCAAGCTCGACAAAACGCTGGTCAGGAGCCCATCCGGCGATGTCCGTCATACGGGGTCTTTTCTCAGATCTGCTCCTCCGTTGTCAAACGTCCTAAACCCCGTTCAAGCATGAAAATGAGGCATACTTGCGGTGCTGGAGACCCAATCCCCTCCAAAAACTGGCGGGTGCCAAGCGAATCAAAGACACTCGGTCGTCATTGCGTTGTATTGCGCCGATATTTTCCTTCTTTCAACGGCGGTCTGTTTTCGTGCTTCACTTCCTCCCCGCTGTCGGATGAGTTGAATGTCCTGCACGCATGCCCAAGTTGGATATTCTTTTCATTTTCTCTCGTGTGTTTGAGTTCGTTCTGGGTCAAGGGACTTCTTGGCGCCAGGCGTGTGTCGTAGCACAGCCCAATGACGATGCCAAAGCGCGTCCAGACATGGTTGGGTGGGCAAGTGTCTCAACTGGATACTACGTCTTCTTTCTCATCTTCTATGCATGCCATCCTCACAGCGGATATCTTCTATTGCTACCATGTTTCTACGTCAGAAGAATCATTAAACATTACACACGCTTGAGATTAGGAACCAGCGGCGGTCCTGCGTATGTGCCCTGAATATGCCATTGAACCAGCACTAACTTTAGGCCCCTCAAGCTGTTGGTGACCCATCGACCAAGCGCCGCGCTGAACTCGGTCTACCGGCCCAGCTCTCACCTTGCTTCCTTTCTACCTAGGCATATCCCCCCCCTTTCTCCAGAGACTTGAGCCCTCTCCCCCAACTTTAGCTATGACGCAAATGTTTCTGCTAAAAGTTGAACGCACGTTAAACTCTAAAAACGGCGCGACAGGAACCCTTGTGGGGACAGAGTTGCCCTCGCAGACTGCCAGAACAGCGGCCATCCCCGTCTTGGAACAATGCAACGCACCAGAGACGCTCTGCTGGATCCAGCTGCTGTGCGGCGCAGTCATTATTAGTGGGAGGCAGTTGGAGCGAATCATTCGCTTTTGATGCAAGGCATAACCCGTCGTTGCGTCGTCCATCCTAGCAAAAAGGGGACAGGAGACTGGGGACCCCTCATGTGGCAACGGGACGCTGTGTCGCAGCGTTCGAAAATGCCAGATCTTCTGAGATGGTCAAGATTCAACGCCGGACGAGACCTCACCACCTTTTTCGATTTTTTGGCTTCCTGCAGAGGGTCAGGATGGCCTTTCCAACGTCTGTGAGCCGGATTGAGTTGAGACCATGAGGATAAGCTGAAGCCTGAAAGAGGCCCTGCGTTGGCCGTGTGCGTCTGACAAGAGCGGCGTCTGAGTCACTCGCCTGTAAGCACCACAGCCTACGTCTACGGGCAACTGGAATAAGCTAGGCAGAATATTTCAGATCTAAGATGAATGGAATTGGAGATATGGCACAGGAAGAAGTAGGCCTCAGGGTGAAGCTGGAACTTTGGTGCATCCGGGGTGTTAAATGCCCGTTGGGAGAGAGATTGAGGGCGCTCTTTATGTGTCTCTATCATGTTGGTCCACCTAGAATGCTCCCGGTGGGGAGTCATGGCCGAGGCCTTTGAGGGGTTCACCGACCTAGGTGAGGCGAAGCATGCCCACACCGCCCCAACTGGTAAATTACTACGACAAACAGTGTACCTCAAAGACTGGAGATAATCGAAATGCCTTGCAGAAGGCCTTGCGCCCCCGTCCGAGGGCCGGGCACCGAATGGCCGGTTCGGCCAGCTTTCGGACCTCTGACTCCCCACCTAAACTGGGAACAGCCTCTTTGTTTGAGCTGCCTATTACGTGAACGCTGCCCTTCAACACCCATAGTTTTTGAGTATGGCGATACATTTCCCCTTTTTACAGAAGGGTTACTCCCACTTAGTCTTTAGGCAGAAGCAGCTAAGCTCCATCTGATATCTCCTGGAGACATATTGAGGAGAGATGGCGAAAGATATCATTGGATACCGTGTGTTCAAGCAAAAGACTATCGAACAGGCCCCTTAGTGAGGCCGAATTCATTGTCCGGCGTCAGCGTGAGTCTTACCGCATGTACGGATACCCCTCAAAGGATCCTGTCCAGTCATTCGGCAATGAGGCCAATTCTGTATTAAAGTAGACAACCTCGGGGCATATCTCACCTGGTAGATT